CAATTTCATCTCTGAGTTGCAGTTTATACTCAAGCCCGTTTTCTACTTAGCAAGAGACCTAGGAACAGAGTCAAATACAGATGTGTAATCAAGGGAGGCACACCGAACATATTTGGCTCCTCTATCTAAACTAGAGACTATATTATGATGTAGAACAACAGCGGCATCTAAGGTACTCCTACTATGTTTATAGGCAAACTGGTTGGGGTCATTAAAAGGCTTTAAAGAGGGTTCAAGATTAAGTAAAATAAGTCTTCCCATAACTTTTAAAAAAGGTGAGGTAATAGCAATCGGTCGAAACTTAACAGTAGGTCCACTTGTTGATTTAGGTACTGGAACAACCTTGATATTTTTCCATGAGTCCGGAATAATACTTTGGGAAAAGGATTCATTGAAAATGTCGGTTAATGGGTAACATAAGATGTCAGCGCACTTCTTAAGGATAACAGCAGGAACTCCATCAGGACCAAGGGACTGGGTAGGTTTCAGAGATTGAAGACAATTAAGGACATCGTTCGTGTTAAAACACGAGAAGCAGTCATTATTTATACTATTAGATTTGGGAATCATAACATCTGCAGGGATGCATATGAAGGATTTATTAAGCATATCAACATCAACATGTGTATACATACCAGATCATTTCTTTCTTCTTTAATTTTCTCAAGCGTTTCTTCCAGTTCTAAATTACGTTGTGTCAACTGACTGACCATTGTATCAATGCCGAGGTAAGCATCCACTTGTTCTTTTAATTCAATAATTTGTTCAACACTATCTTTTAAATTTTTTGTTAATCGTTCTTTTTCTGTTTGAAGTTGACTAACTTCTGATTCTAAAGATGTAATCTTTAAAATACAAATAAACAAAATTAATTATTCAGTTTAAAGTTTGGTATTTCAAATTCTCATAAAAAGTAGGTAAATACAATGTGATAGTGTAGATTTCGTCGTGAACCAACATCAGTTAGGGAAATATTCAAAATCAAGGAGCTCCAGACAACTGTTTCGTACTTGATTAGAACTATTCAGCAATACGCACTCACGTCCCCAACGGAGGTCGAATTCAGGACCTTCATGTCACAAGGCTGATTGCGTTGACTATTTAGCATGCTGCTGAAGAACCACAAGTTGGGACAAAACCACTGTCTAGTGTTCTATGGTTTTTGATAATTTTTTTAACTGATATTGGATTGAGACGAAATATACAGTAAAATTAATCCAAATCCCTACAACGAAATTCCCACAATCTCAATACGATATCAGACGTCAGTGACTGTGATGTCTGTTTCAAGCTATTTAATATTACAAAATAGCATAGAAGTGAGCTGAATTAGTATAAATGAATATACAGATAAAGCTGACTAACTTACTGATCTCAACATAGAACTTTGCACACATATGGGGCAGTTCCAGTTGAATTAAATAATTAATATGACCCATTGCACAAGAGGTGGCCCTCTTGGCCCAAGTGGTCTAGTGGATAACGCTTTGGCGTTTGAAGCTATGGGCACTGCGTCCGAGCCTCAGTGGGGACATCATCACTCACTGCGGAATACAGCTAGATCCAATTGACGAGTCCCAAATAGGCCGAAATGCGCATCCTGGATTCTATTGCTAGTCACCATCCACCAATTAACTTCTATTTTCTGACTGTATAGTTCATTGTGATGGTGAAAACCTTACTACTACCATTAGTCGTCTAGTTTAAAGAAAGCAATAAGAGTGAACTGATCTAACTGGCCGTTACAGATATAATAGACAATAACAATAAATCAGCGATAAATGGCGGTTAAATGCACCAAGTACAACCAAAGAATCTCAGCTGATCTAACCTTCTCGAAATACCTTACTAATAGACACATTTTCATAGAGTTTACACGGGTGTCCTACTGACAGCATTATTATGTGGAAGAAATTTTGCCACAAAAATGAAGGCTTGGTGAATATGGGGTACCATGTGACGAGTTTAAAACGCCTTGATTCCATACAGAATGTGTACAGGTAAAAATGGCTTACAGATTTGACTTAGTTACCAAAATTAAGATAAAATGCATCATGACATTGCTTTGCTTATTTTCGAATTGGACTTTAGGTCACAGATTTGGACTGTCCCCATAACATTTCGAGCTTCACAAAAATCGTAAGACAACAGAGGTAAATAACTCTTATCACATCATTCATCACTTCCATTTGCTCGACCATTCACTTTTAGGCTTTATTTTCCCACTCAGACAAACTGTTATCTCAGACTTAACTGTAAACTTTGATATTGTCTATGAGTGAGTTGATGTTAAAAGAAGAGTTGGAAGAATAAACGAAATTCAAAACACAGTTGAAGCCAATATGCGAAGAATTCACAATACTCAGCTATACAGCTCCATTAATATTTATAACTTTTGGTAGCCTGTTTAGTGTTCTTAAAAGTAGACTTGATTGGTGTACAGAATATTAATAAGTTTAGAAATATTGAATTGGTAAGTTGAGTGCATTCACTACTTATCTCATAAGTTAGAAAAACCTTTACTATGATAACAGTGACTAGCAGAGGAATGTAGGATGAGCACTTCGTCCTATTTGAGATTCATCATCTGGACGTACGTATGCTGGTGTTCCACTCAGACTAGAACCCTGCACCCGATGCGCTTTGATAAGAAGCTTGTACTGAAGATGTTGTTCGGAAGGAACATGAAAGTTTCGCAGTTTTAAAATCATCCAGCTCAAAGAACGCAAGAACATCAAAATTACAACTTTACCTTCATCGAGTTTCTTTCTTTGCTCACTGCATCATACATAAAAATTATTAAGCAGGAATTTACCTGTTTAGTTAAAGCTGAAATTTCCGATTTATCTTGATTAACCAAATCACGTAGCTTGACCAGTGCTCCTTTCATTCGTTCATTTTGTTGTTCAAGATTTTTAAACTGTAAGAGAGTTGGACCGCCTTCAACACCGACTGATACTTCACCGGGTATTTTCCACAAGAAAGAGAAAGAGAGATAACAACGTAGAATGCAATAAGTAACTAGGAACGCAATGTCTAGTAATTTATCTCCTTAAGTAAGAGAAAAATGTTGGCGAATTTCTAGACAAGAAAACGCAGTTGCCCTTGATGTAGGAACAGAGTATAATTCCATATCATAGGATCATTTCATTCGATAAAATAACTCGACGTAGGATTCATAACAAGGCAGGAATTAGGGTGGAATTTAAACCTACAAAGTAACTCAGAGATTAAGGGACCCTATTAGACAAAACTATTTAATCAATATAATGACCTGCAGTGACTGTGAGATCAACTACAACTATAAGACCAGTTGTTTGGTCAGATTATTGGAGCATACGAATTTGGCTTAGTGTGAAATGATGGACTTCACAAAAATGAAAATCACACAATACAATGGGGAGAGAGCTACAGTTCTAAAAAGTAATATAAATAGGTGGAGAGAGAAATCGAGCATTGAATTTTTCTTCATTTAATCTATAGGTAACACATGAGTAGGAATAACGTAACGCTGGTATACTGGAGATATGGATAAGAAATAATAGAATTACATAAACGAAGTTTAAAAGTTATGTGAGTGCCTTGATATAGTTGTAAGCAATAAATTGTTGTCGAAACGTCATCAGTAAAAAATGTTGCATCACTGTTTTTCTCCTCAAATAAAATTATTCTATAAAGGGACAGGGTGACCTTTTATATTTTTACATATTCTTCTTTACCAATCGGTAAATCTTTATCCTCAGAATTGAAAAATGAGTTTTGAGTAATGTCACGCACTGACAGTATTAGCTTATTTACGTGATTCCCTGCTGATAAATCTGACACGAATTGATCAGCTTCAGTTTGGTATACGGCTACAATTAACGACCTGGTACGGTCGACGGTGGGTAGACTTCAGTCTTCCTCTAGAAGTCGTCTCATGTGCTTACGCGTTTATAGCCTTTGATTACGTAATTCCTGTTTACTACCTTTAAGCTGCCTGGTTGAAAGGGCGAATCCGGACATCTGGCGCTAACAACTGGACTGATGAACTCATTCAGTAGATGCCTAAATACTACCTTGAAGTATATAAAATGACTTCTCAAAATACATGAACAACAAATATGGAGATAGTTACCACAATAGCTCCTGAAAAGTAATGAGCACAATGTCAGTTGACAGTTCTGCGATTAGAGTAAAGCCGATAACACTGAAGAAAAAAAGTGAAATGTTTATCGAAGTTATAAATGACTGATAATAAAATACGATGAAATTGTTTTCACGATATGCCTGTGTCTCTACCTTAGTTGATTGACTTGTTTCGCAACCTGTGAGCTAACGTGGTTAATAGCATCTTATAGAAAGTTCAGATGGGTGGTTAGATCACATTCTGTGAGGTGTTAAACGAGAATTTTTAGGAGCTAAGATATCAATGGAAGCACTACTGTGTAAATCACTTGACTAGTACAATTTCCTTTTCAGTAGTTTATCCCAACTATAGTAGAAACTTTTCGAAGAGGCTTCAGATGCGTTCGCTCCATACTGCAGATTAAATGACAAGTAAGGATAAGCAAGCAACCAGGAGCTCCGGCACGAAAAAACCACTCAAGATCATATCGTCCAACAAATATTCAGAGGAAAACATAAACGCATTGGACACAGGCTGAGAAAACTATCGAGTGACACATCACGTGCCAGACCCTCGAGTGAGATTCAAACAACAATCGATGAGTTGGGCACACGAGAGTGACATGAAGGAGGCCGTGTGAAGTGAAGATGAAAGTTATGAGCAATCGTGGGGCCAGCTACGACAGGCCGAAGGCGACAGGATGAAATATCGATCGATGTGTTGCTGAAGCAATATGTTCCACTAGGAACCCTAATGAATAATAATAACATATACAATAGAAACGATTTTAAAATAACCTTGAAACAACTTAAATCACTACTACTAACCTTTTTCTTCAAATTCTTCTTTCAAGATTTGATTCTCAAGAGTTAATTCTTCTACTTGTTCCTTAAGTAATTCAATTTCTCCAGTCAATTTTTCTAGTTTTTCTTCGGTCATTTCTTTATCTAAAGTGATCATTTCTATATTTTCAACCATTTCAGATACTTCTTCACGATAACGATCAAATGCTTCTTTGACTTCAGCTTTTTCCTTAATAGAGATTAATAATAAACACATTAGTGAACCAGGTTTTCAATGAAAATAGCCATAGATGTATTTAGAAACTAAGGAGAGCTAACAGAGCGAGTATTTTCTAGCTTGGCACTTTGTACTAATGCAAACACATGACTGCATGGAGCAATGAGCTCAGGATCATTGAGTTACAAGATGCGAGTGTTATCATTGAACCAAACGGTTAGCATGCAATCTTTGAACTCAGTTCCTGGAAGGGGTGTTTCATATTCCAGGGATTATGAGTGACACTTATTGTGTAAGGGTTAATGATACTTCCCAGTTACCCGCTCTAGGTAGGCACAGTGGGATTCGAACCCGAGGCCCACTGGTCAAAAGTCAAGTGCTTAAATCAATGAGCTAAGTTTGCCTTGCATGTCCTCAATTCATTAGCAGAAGAAATCAGTGCAAAACTTATGAGAGTAATTCACTCTGGAGAAGTTATTACTTTTAAAAGCAGTTACTTCCTTTCATGAATTTCGACAACAACAACAAAAAAAATAAGACGCAGTTTGTTCTATCTGAAACATGTAATGCATTCACGTAACACATTTCGGACATTCTGATCACACGGCCTCCTTATCAATACATATTTATATTAAAAACTAACTGACCATAAAGGCTCAAAACTCTACCAATTAGTCAAGGAGTCATGACCACAGATAATGAGGTAGGAGAATCATACACACACACACACACAGAACACGTCGACTTTTTGATGGTTGGTATGTATTAAATGGCAGTAAAAAGATCACCAGTTTCTGCACATCACTCTGTGAGCAAGTAAACGGACAAAATTCACATTGGTAGAAGTGTTTCCACTATATTATTAGTATTCGCTATCTGCAAAATGTGATTACTAGCACTACTCTTTTTGACGTCAACTTTGTCATTACATACAGAGTGGGTAGACATAGGTCCCATAGATTGTACAATTGCGAAATTACACTAATCTATTATTAACATGGATCGTGGATGAGAAATAGTACGAAAACAAAGTGCAGTGGCTATTTGTGGTTCTATAACTGAGAACCATCTTTTTTAAACTGGAACTGGGAACAGTCAAAACTCAAGTGTTAGCAGTCAATAACTTCATGTTGCATCATCAATAGCTTACTCCATATAGGGTCATTTTCAGGTTATCAATCGATTTTGATTAGTTATCGCCATCGATTGAGAATATATTATCTCCTTACAGTTAGTCAACTAAGAGAGTTCACAAACTTTCCGTTCATACAATTTTATGATTTATTTACAGAGGTTTCAATTTTTAAAAGAAACATCTCCCAGTATAGCTAAGTAAAGGTGTAGTGAAAACCATCAACAGTTCGATATTTGATCATCTGGTCCAAACCAGCCACAAAGCCAGCATTGAAGAATCCTTCTCTATCATCTACCGTGTGCCAAATAAATTGCCGAAAACAGCGAAGTACCACATGCTCCAAACAGCAGAGGCTATTTCAATTCGCCTCAAATAACCAGTGCTTTGTGTGCAAAAGAAGCAAGTCTAGCCACTACTATTGCCCTGGCCTTTAGTGGAGATTATAAATCCATGAATTTGTATTATTATCTTTACTAATTTTTCTGACATTTAGTTTATTGTTATATTGATGCTATTTAACTATAATCTATTGATATTCGTGGTTATTTAAACATTAATGTTGTTCACAACACTAATTTATTCATTTACTATAATGTATATATAACTGCAGAGCCTGATGATGAAGTTATCGAAAAGAGTATTCTTTGTTCAGTATCCATTCTTTGGAAACAGTAATGATAGTGACTTCAAAAGAATAATTTAAGCTCCAAGTACAGTTCACCAACCCAACAAAATTGTTAAAATCAATATAAGAAAGAAAACCTACTGTTTTTAATTGAGCAATTTCACGTTGTAATTCAGCTGCTTGTTGTCGGATTCGACGTCGATTCTCTTCAACTTGTGACAGCTGAATTTTAACACGTTCTAATTCTTGTATTCTATTTTTATCTTCTTCCCGTTTAGCTTTTAAAGCATCAATTTGTTCACGAAATTCGATTACTTCAGCACGTAGATTTGCCAGTTCCAACTCTGTGTCTGGGATGTACTTACCAGTACCACTTGGAACAGCTGATACAGATGTTTTTGGTATTTTTTGAGACGTATCTCTAAGTTCACTTGGTGCATTTTCAGAATCCACCTTCTGCGCAGCCGCTTTTACATCACTAAGTGCTGCTGTTGTTTGTGAGATCTCTGAAGGATTTATTGGCATTTTAATACCAGTAGGGATAGGCGGTGTTGATGTAGTAGTGGTAGTAGAAGTGGGGAGTTTACTCCCACTTATCATCTTACGAGTCGGACTATCCGATTTTGAAATTTGTGTGTAAGATTTACTCATTATGTCTGTTGCAACAGGTTTATCCGCAGAAGGCTTACTAGAAGGACTTTCAATTTTTGCAGAGGCAGTTTCAGGTTTTAAAGCTGTTGATGTTGGAGCTGGACTACTTCGTACAAGGTCTGGATTAGATCCAGTTGGTGGAAGCTATAAAAGTGAAGAAAAAATGAGTAAAAGTATGGAAAGTGATGGTTTGACATGCGCTGCTTCAAAAAGGAATTGGCGCTCAAAACAACGCCTACACTGACACCTCAAGTGATATGACTGAAGGATTAGTGCGGAACACTGCACAACACTTCATTAGTTCATGGTGCTACACTTCAAAGCACCACATAGAAACTCCAATGCTGAGTGCAAAAATTTACCACCAAGAAGAGAAGCAGATATACCTTTTGTAATTTAGCAAAACACGAGATAACAGAATAAACTGGTACTCATAACGTGCAACACACTAAGTGGTTGTGTTAAACATGTTGTTTATTTTAAATATATACAAGACCACCAAAAACTCAAGCTTAATACATGTACAGTAAAAGGAAGAGTAAAGTTTAACAACAATTCAAAGTAATCTTAGACCTTATTGTATTATAATTGCTACTCCCACGGGTTACTGGTAGAAAATTAGGCTTCACAGCAGCACAGATTCATTGCATCTTGTTCTCCGCAGTCTTTTCTTAGGTGGCTCCTCGACTGCTCATAAGCTTTCATCTTAACCTTACACGAACTCATCCATGCCATCCTCGGACAAACAACGCATCTTTCGCTTCCCATTCATGTTTTACTCGAGTGCTTGGAGCATGATGCCACGGTCTTCTCAGTGTATTTCTGATCCATATATATGTCCTTCTACATATTTCTACATGGGCAATAGGCTTTTGGGCAGTTGGCTGACGGAGTTCCTTGTTGCTTACCTTTCTGGTCAGCCATCTGATCCTCAGTATGGAACCAAGTCTGTCTGGTATGCTTTTGATAGTGCGCCAATTCTCTGAACCATATGGAATCACTGACTGACTTGACAATGGCATTGGAAATTCGGATCTTGTTACTTATACAGAGTTCGACGGATTCCCACACTGATTTCAAAGTAATGAAGGCCTGTATTGCCTTTTCAACCTTGCCTTTGACATCTTCATCTTTGCTTCCCGCCTAGGTAATTGAAAGAAGTGGCTTCCTTCACACTTCCCCCATTGATGTTAGTTCGTTCTTGTTGCTGTCGATTAGGTTTCTAATCACTTCTGTTTTATCAATGTTCCTTTGAAGTCCGGTCTTCACTGCCTCTTCCACTAACTTGCTGGTCTTTCGCTTGTAGATCCTCAAACTTCTGCGAAATTAGACATAAATCATCGACGAATGCCCAGATATTCCAGTGTCTTTTTTTCCCTCCAGTGTATGTCCGTCCTGTCTCTCCTCACGGACTGTCGCATAGCTCAGTCTAATATAACTAGAAAAATCGTCGGTGGCAGTAGGCTGCCTTGTCTTACTCTAGTCTTTACTTCAGAGGCTTTGCCAAGCTCCCCGTTGTGAATCAGTTGGCATGTAGCACTGTCATATAACTGTTGAATGAGGCTGATACAGGTTTGAGTTGCTGCAATCCATGGTGTCAGATCAGTTTCCAAATTACCTTGAATGTTTTTACATAGGCATTTACAAGATGAAATCCCGAAAGCTTGAACATTATCAACAAGGAATCTGAACTATTGAAGAATTGATAATTCTAGAAGAGACATAAACTTTATTAAAAACCTGTTTGTCTCATTCATTTTTAGATACGCTATACTGTAAGATGATTTATCTATATTTGATATTATAGACATGGTTTTCAGTGTAGAACACACTGGAAGCTGCAATTCGCTTAAAACCTTAAAATTAACCATTTTATTTATTTATTTATTAATTTATTTATTTAATTATAGCTTCATTCCACACAGTATTTTGGTACAAGTACGGAATTCTCCGCATATGATATCGGTAGTTCAAATTTAGCCGGCCGAGACCATTGATATCAGGTGGGCGTCGGTTGGGGATCGAACCCCGGACCATATGCATGGTCGGCGAGCGTCATAACTGCTGTGCCACCGACACCCTGAATAATCACTTAGAATGAAACACAAGATGATGAGATCTAGTGAACTCCAACAGTTCTGCAGCAACTGTTGATTTGTGCAGTTTACGTCCATTTATCACTTAAAACAGAAAAAGGTTTAGTAAACTAAGGTATTAATAAATTTATCACATAAATTCAAATATTAATAAAACAAAAACCACACCAGAAAGAAAAGATACCATTTGTATGAAATTAATAATCAGTTTAGAAGACAGTCTGCACAAAACATAGTTGGTGAAAATCCACTACAGAGTGGATTTCGAGGTGTTGTGCTTTGAAAGTACAGATATAATTTAGAGAATTACAAAAGATTGTGAGTAAAAACCAGGTATTAACAATGATCAGTTAGTATTAGGTAAGTGTTTTATAAATAAGCGAAAACATGATAAGTGAAATACAAAAGGTGAATACTGTTCAGTAAGAGAACGTAAAATATTAGAGAACAAAGGACCAGGATACATATGTAAGATATTGAACTACTCATGTCATATTCTGATACTCAGTATTTGGTTAACATAGGAGTAAGAACTTCTGTGTATTACTGAGTCATGGAGCCTTGATTTGTCAGAAGTAGACTTCAGCATTCTTATAACAACAGAAGACAAGGTCCAGGTGACAGATCGTTTATTAAATACAATCAAGAGATATTTATATATTCCTATGTGTATTATTATTAGCGTTATTGTTAGTGGAGAAACAACCTCTTCTTAATGGTTGTTTCTCCGCTAACTGAAGGTTATTCTGTACTGCTTGTGACCGTTTCTCAGAAAGTTAAGCCATATATCTGCGAATCGTATCTGCACACGTTAAGTCCTCAAAGTTAAGCTTTGTTCTTGTTTTTTCTCATGACCTCGATTAGGGACGTCAACATTGACGTGGACTGCTGTCTATAATTTTGGCTTGCAGACGACTGTCACCACATTCTGACTTCCATTTAGGGAACAATGAACACTGAGCAAACTAATTTATTTAAATGTGTGACAAAAAGGGTGCATCAGTGATTCAGTGGTAAAATGCTCGCTAACTAAGCACCTAGTTTGGGGTTCGATTCCCGGTCGATGTACTAATAAAAATTGACTAGTTTACCAGTTCAGAGTAAGTCCGCAAAAGACTGAAGATTGGGTGTACGGCTAACAAATCCACCCCATAAGAAGCAGCACAATGGTTACTGAGTCTTCAAAACTTGAAGCCCTAAGTCCTATATTCAAGTCGGAAGGCAGTGGACTGAGAAAAAAACAGGTTTTCATGTATTCTAAATGTTCCTACAGTATCTCTTTTACAATCATTCATTTTATTTCTTTATGTTGGTCCATGCTAGTGAGAATGTTGTCGTCTTATAACCAGCTTAAAAAAATTCGTTTTCTCTCCTTCAGTTCTAAGTAGAATATAGGACTTCAAACTTTGAAGTTTCACTAGCAGTGATGTTTTGTTTTCTTTCGAGAAATATGGTTGCTAGCCTCATGGCCAAACGTCTCTTTCCCAGGTTTACTACTTGGTTAGGCGAGGTTTAGGAGTGTGTCGGCCGGGAATTGAACCCTGACATACTGAGTTCCATTGCTTATAATTTGAGGCAGTAGTACTTATACTTTGGATTTTCATAGTTTTCTCAGTCACACAAAAACAGTACAAATGGTAGAGAAGGAAGTGCATCATCTCAGCAGCGATGTCAACTGGCCAATCAGCTACATCTATCATATGACTTCTAGCAATAATGCCCATAAGTCATAAGACGTGTATAGAATAGGATTTGAGGGTATGACCCATTTGCTTGACAACAGTGTATCTATACATAACTTATACATCTATTAATTATAAATCATATCTAATAAATGAATGACGAATCAACGTAGAACGTTACTCAGACACGTGTGTCAGTCCACCTAATCATACTTAAACTTTAACCATAGTACAATGGAGCGACTACTTATAATTTGCTATTTTGCTATTATTTACTGTATAACACTGTGAGACTCTATCAAAATAAAAATTTACCCATAATGGAATTACACTCTACCACATTGCCCAAGTTTTATTCTTATAACATGTATATTTCTCATAGATATGTGAAGAAACCAAGTCACCTGATTGGTTGTGGATATAAGCACCTACATATATATATATATATATATATATATATATATTGGTTTTTACCTTCCCGAGGACCTCAACCAGGAAGTCTACACCTTCCTACGTGTCTTAGACTAACTGTTGTAGATTTCATTGACTGGTGCCATGTTTTCGTTTGACCACCGCTAGCCCTTTAACCAGCCTGGCCCTATATCAGCTAACATGGCCCGTCGAGAAAGGCGATGACTAGGCATACGTAGCACATGTCCAAACCATCTCAGTCGATGTAAATTCACAGTCTCGTCGACTGACTTCCCCTCCTTACCTAGCAGTCGACTCCTAACCTCAATACTGCTCACCTTATCATACCACTTCACGCGGGAGATAGGACGCAGACACCTATGATCAAAGACAGCTAATCTTTTCAAGCCTTCTGCGCTCAATGGCCAGGTCTCACAGCCATAAAGGAGGACGGAGCGGACTGTTGAGCAGTACACACGCCCCTTGGTCGATAGTCGGATATCGCGTCTACGCCAGAGACGGCGTAAACTGGCATATGCGAAACTAGCCCTCTGTATTCGTGCTGAGAATAAAACATTATCAGGGTGAGGCGCGTGCAAATAACACACAGCCTTCTTCAAACCTTGCACACAACCATTAGGTCGCGTACTATCCGCGACCTAACGGCTTTTGTCAGTCGATCAGTAAATGATGTCTAATTTTCTGGACGACTGGTGATGATATCCTGATAAACTGGTGCCTTTTTGTGTCAAGTCACATTATATTTTGACTTATCATAGAATACTGACAATAACTGCCTGGAGTTGACACGGGATGATGACCGATTGCGTCACTAGTCTTGTTTACAATGTAGATGTAATCAGTACAATGCCACCATAGCCGTCCACAGTCTCGTACACTGTTTAGTTGAACAACCAGTTTCAGTCTTTGATTACAGAACGACGTATGATTGTCGAAGATGCAGACAACTGGTTCTCCATATTTTCTGATAGACTGTTATTCAAAACGTCTAAATTCTTCATAAACAGAATATTTTTGACCTTCCAGTTTATAAAACCTCACCTCGTTTACGAGCTCGCTAGCTTTCTAGCCGGTCCCAAACTCGCGTGAAGAGTAAAGGTCGGACGTGCGGGGTAGCGATCCTACACCACCAAAACAATCAATCTGCTACACAAACTTCAGTGCACAGGAAAAATACAGAAAATATAACAAATCAGACTTAATTCTCTCTGGAATTAGAGAGGCGAAATGACATAGCAGGCTGGTGAAAGCCTTCGGGAAGCCAGTCAGTTGATGTGTCGTCTTCCAATAATGTCAAGAACAACAATGTGAGTGTGGAGTGTTCGTACAATGTACAAAGCTGGAAAGGCTGCCGAGTTAGCCAAAGAAATGAGGAGATAAGGTATAGAAGTGCTGGGAATTTGCGAGAGCAGATGAAATGGATGTGGATTGTCAAAATTGTCAACTGGAGAGTCAATAATCTACTCCGATCTGTCACCCAGACGACGACTACGAGCACACTGAGTCAGTCAATAGCTATCATGATGTAACCAGTGGCAGCCAAAGCCCTAATACAGTAAGAACCAATCTCCTCCAGCAAGATCATGACAACAAGATTCAAATCAAAAGGAAGGTCACAATTATCCAATGCTACGGACAGTGCTACAAACAATGCGGAACGAGACAAGAAGGAAGAGTTTTACAGACAACTACAAACAGTAATGGACAACATTCCGAAAGCTGGCACAAAAATCCTCACAGGCGATATGAATGCTAGCCGAAATGGGAGCAAATTATATAGGAAGAGAACTCATCATCGATCGAGAGGCTCTGGGAGAAATGAATGAGAACGGAGAATTATCCGCAGAATTCTGCGCTTTCAATGATCTGGTGATCGGAGGCAGTGTGTACAAACACAAGGATATACTCACAGCAACATGGATTTCGCCTGAAGGAAATACCACAAACCAGATAGATTTCATCTCAACACTGTTCAAGGATGTGAAGACGCAGTCTTCTGGATACAAAGTCGACAAGGAGAGCAGATGTGGGCTCACACCGTCAGCTAGTTTTAGGAACCTTCAAGGTGAAGATGAAATCCCTCAAAACAAATGGAGACAGGCCACAACTCAAGTTTGGCATTCAGAAACTGAACCACAAAACCACAGATCAGAGCAAAGTCGGAGACATATGATTATGAGCAATAATTTGTGCTCGATAAGTCATCAGTTAATATAACTGTACAACACTGTGTGATTTATGAAAATAAAATCTTATCTATAATGGAGTTATACTCTACTACTGTGCCCAAGTTTTATACTTACATCAAGAACAAATAGCACCAGTCATCATCAATGGGAGAAATTTGAAAGAGGTTACTTCCTTCAATTATCTCGGCAGCATTGTTTCAGTTACAGGTAGCCAGCACGCGTGAGGATGTGAATGCCAGCCAGAATTGGAAAGCCAAGACAAACCTTCATCACTCTGAAATCAGTTTGGACATCCTCCGCACTCAGCCAGCATAAAGAGCAAGATTCGGATTTTCAACACCAATCTTAAGCCAGTCACTTCTTCTATATAGGTCAGAAACGTGGCCAGCGGATCACGAAAGCCAACTGCAGACATTTATCAACAACAGCTGCCTTCGCTGAATCCATATTAAAGATCAAATAGCCAGCGAGAAAGAATCAGCAACGAGAAATTATGGGGACAAACCAATCAAAAAAATCGATTGCTCAACGAATATGTGGGAGAAAATGAAGATGGACTGGACACACACTGAGGAGACCGTCGAATGACATCGCATGCCAAGTCATGGCTGCAGTGGAATCAGAATGGGGGAAACGACGATTCGGAGTGTGGTCAATGGTGACATGGAGGAGATTGGTGTTGTGAGGAGGAGATGAGAGATTATGGACGATTCGTGGACCTGCCTAAAGAGGATAGCAGAGAATAGGACAAAGTGGAGATGCGCTGTTGAAGCCCTGTATTCCACTCGGAACCAAAGGGAATAAAAAGAATAATAGTAAAATTCTTAAGCATGACACTGACGACACTTTGGCCGCAACCATTACGTACTGGTTCAAATAATTAACAGACACTTCTCTACTCTCATACAGGCTAATCTGGAATGAATTTTCAACGCACAAACATGCAATAAAGTGTAACACTTCAAAGTTGCCACCTTACACACACACACACACACACAAATAGAGCAAACACATACAGATACAGAAAGAAAAAATGTTACCAACAGTTTCAAGCCACTGGTGGTTACTAGCATCTCTGCACCTTCCTACATGGATTAAACGCATAGCCTAAAACTGCATGCATTGTTGCCATGTTTCGATTCGCTTTCCAACACAACCCGACGTCAACTAACATCAATCGACGAGGAGGAGCAATGGCTTGGTGTGCATGCGTAACATGTGCCCCTGCCATTTCAATCGATGCAGCTTCACAAACTGATTGATTAACTCTCCTACTCACATAACTTAAATATCTCCCACTATATTATACCGCTTAACACCCATCCTGCAAGTGTAACTCAACTTGAAAAAGGCTCTCTCTTCTAATCTAAAACGAAGATAAGCACATGGAGTCCAGAACATGACTGCGTTTACACAGTTGTCAATTTTAAACTATGATTTATACGTTTTGTTAGCCTCACAATCAACAATCCGCAAGTCTACACACACTTATGCCCCACTAATACAGATAAGTGCATACGTGTATCACGTTTCGCGTTAAAAGAGGGGATTAGGTCAAAAAAAATGTGTAATGTTTTGTGATCATAACGTTATACTTTTATTTTACAATATGGCATAGGATAAGATGAATCTCAGAAAACCATAACTACATATCCGGTATTACCAATAATCGAAACTGGTAAATACCCAAAAATTGGTTTCCAATTTATGACCAGCCAAACATGTAGCCGAGTGCTTTGGATATTAATCCAGAATCCCTGTCCCGTCGAACCTACAGTAATGAAAAAAAACAAATTAAGGAATAAAGGGGTTTGTAAACAATTATATCAGTTAAGTATAATCTGAACGAGGTAAAATGTTAACTCAAGTAGTCACCGACAATTTCGGTCTGTATACAATCGCTGAGTTTCATTCTAAAAGGAATTGCTGATATGCAGTGCTTAGAATGCTTATTTCTTCCTAAGCTTCACTTGTTCATGTGTGTGCTGACGATGAGTCCCAAACGAAAATGAAACAGCTGTCCAGTCCACCCAGGTTCTCCAGTGGTTCTCTAACCGATGTCAGCTCATGATGAAATCCTGTAACCAGTCAAATCCCCGCAAACCAACACCTTGATAGTTAATCTAATGCTAACTAGCAACTGCCTGTATACAGAAAGTTACGTGAAGTTCTAGTGAGAGGTCGCAACCAGCGGAGTCCACCAAGTCAGGGAGGAGAACAGTTACTCGACCATGACATTGACTGGCGGTTGCGTTATAAACATCGTGAATTAGCAGAAGATGGAATTCATGGACTGACCATCGGATCAGGCAGGTGTCCCAGTGGCTTTATGGCCTACAACCTCACCTTGTAACCAGAAGGTCCTAGGTTCGAAACCCCATGGGTGAGTACTGTTGAAGAGTCCAGAACTAGGATGAGATACCAGTCCAGTACTCCCAGGTTCTTTAATGGTCCTCTAACTGATATCAATCCGTGACCAAAATTGATCACAAAGTTTATTATATTACTCTGCTCACGATTACTCCTACTAATACTACTAAATATTTCTCATAGAAACATGCCTAGATACGCACTTCACTTACATCCTCATACCTCGTTGACTGGTAGATACTATGCACTTTCACTCAATTCCATAACAGGCTATAGAAGAAACTGCTATTTTTGGCACATTCAATAACTGCAACAATTATTCAGGCTTAGTGTAAGAGTAGAGTTTGGGTATCGTGGTAGAAAATAATCCAATATATCGGATGATTCGATCAGCAAAGATTCGGTGATTAAACTCTCCCTCCACTTAACTATGTTATTATATTGTGCCATGTACTACTAGCAAAATTTATCAATAGTATATAGATGCAGATTGATAGGAAGTAACCTAAATTGAAAAACAACATTTTGAAACAATAGCTACAGAAATAGAAGTGTTTATTTCTCAAATCTGCAACTCGCCTACGTTGTGGTCAGAAAACAACCTCAAGATTTAACCCCCAAAAAATCAACAACTAATCAGAACAACCTACTGTCAGTAGACAACTTCACGTCCCAAAAGTTTGACCTTCAGAAAACTAACAACCAATCAGAATAGTTTATTATCCGTTGATCTAGTCGACCATAAATATAGCTAAAAACGTATAAATACGGTGAGTCTCACTAACAAAAAGGTCCCTTACCAAGTCTTATCCGGTTACAGATTCATAGTCGCGGACACTGACGAAAGCTATGGCCTTTTTGACCTTCCCTCATTAAAATCACTGTGTGCATTTATACTAAACGAAATCCTTAAACTTTGGAGGGAAATAAAAATAATAACTAAGCAGATTGTGGGGAGTGGAAAGCGAAAAGGACATGAAATGAGAGTTGGTCAACTTACACTTGCTGTTCTTGATAGACTTGTTGGTCGATTAGATGCAGCCAACGATCGCATTGAATTATGTCTGCCAATGCTACTACCTACTGGTTTGTCTGTAAGCATATTATTGCCAGAATCCATTCCAGCATTTAATGATGGCGGCTTCAATCCATCCATATCTCTATTCGGAGTTCTATTCATTGTTCCAGTTGTTTTATTGTTAGCATCATCGATACCACGGCGAATATTGTTCATACTGTTGTTATTCAATGGACTAAGGAATACAGAATCATTTATATTACTAGTGTTTGTCTGTCTACATAACACACCAGACTTTTCTCCATCTATTACTTGCTGTCGATGAACAAAAAGAAAGCAATAAATAATTAGAATTGCCAATCATCCCATTAGTGTAAAGCAACATGAGATGGTGGTAAATGGCTTGCAGTAGGAACTAAAATGCACCTTTCGTCTGATTCGGAGCTCATCAGCAGGATAATGTGACTGTATTCGCAGTGAATCATAACACTTTCCCCTCTCTCCCCCGCTGAGACTCGAACTTAGCATCCAACGTTTCAAGCACTACACATAGTTTTTCATTAGGCCACTGTATGGGGAGGGGCAGCAGTTATTAGCTGTTATTTGTTGTTTAACTTAGTTGTTGCATTTCCCGTGTTGATTGGTGACACTGGATCAGAGTGCTGAGTCTCTGTTGACATGTCGGCTTCTAGAGCAAAGTGATAGCAAACTCTGGTTCACCGTGTTAATCTTCAGATTCTGTTGGAGCGTCCATCGATAGTCATTGAGGATTTCAGTCTCATATAATCAATCAGTGGTCATGCCTCGGTGGTTCAGCAATACAATGCTTGCCAATCATTCCCACATGGTCCGGGCTTCGATTCCCAGACAGCCCACACATTTACCCCACCCTCGAACCCGGCTGTAAGCCCGACAAGGAGGGAAGGTTGAGAGGGCAAGGTTGACCAGCAACCCCAACCCGTTAAAAACACCACTGCTACTGAGACTTCAAAGCTCCAGAAGCCTGAAGTTCTATGTTCCCCCATCGGAACGTAAAGGAATACAATAAATCAAAAATATATAATCAATAAATAATGGGGAATACAAATAATAACATCAGACACATTGATAAAATTTGGTATTGTAAGTCTTTTACAAAAAGTTATAAAAAGAGAAATACTCCAAACTGCTGTTCACAGTTTGTCATATTCATCAACCACCGTCTATTAAGCATCAGAAAAGTTCGTTACCTCTAAAAATTTCAACATGCAACAAAAAAAACTAAAAACCTATGCCAGTTTCAACGCAAGTGGTATAAAACAGTCGAAGTCGCCAGGACCTGTGGCATTCGGTTGCACAAGTAGATCACCTTTTATGGAAAAAGATTTAAATATAGAATCCTTCGAAGTGAGGACAGGAGTAAAACAAGGCTGCCTACTATCGCCAATGATTTTCCTGATTGCAGTAGATTGGATAATGCGTCAAACAGCGGGCAATGAGGAAACAGGCATAAAATGGACTCACACAAAAGAAAAACTTGAAGGATCTGGACTTCACCGATGATATATGTCTGATTTCCCACAAACTGGAAGATATGCAAGTGAAAAGCAACAAATTGGCAGAAAAAGAATCCAGAGAAGATAGAACTTCAGGTGAACATAGAGAAAACAGAGGTAATGAAGATTCCTGGACAAGAACAACAACAACAGACAACGATCAGCATAAATGGGAGGAACCTGAAAGAAACAACCTCTTTTACCTACCTAACTAGGAAGCATCATCTCAACTACAGGCGGAACTGGCGAGGATATCAAAGCAAGGATCGGGAAAGCAAGAAAAGCTTACACTACTCTCAAGTCTGTGTGGAGGTCAACAGCACTCAGCATCAAAAATAAGATCCGGATTTTCAACTCCAATGTGAAGTCAGTGCTACTTACCATATGGATCAGAGACTTGCACTGCGCGTCATAAAGAGCATCTCAAACAAACTACAGACCTTCATTAACAGTTGTCTTCGCTCAATACTACTCAAGACCAGATGGCCAGAAAAGATCAGCAACAGGGATCTCTGGGAGCGAACCAACCAAGAACAGATTGTGAAACAAATAAGCAGGAAGAAATGGAGATGGATTGGTCATACTCTGAGGAAACCATCAGGTGACATCACTAGACAGGCCATCGTTCCAGTGGAACCCGAAAGGGAAGCGGCGATTTGGTCGTCGAAGGGTGACTTGGAGGTCATGTGAAGAGGAGATGAAAGTGTGTGGGCAGACATGGAGCCAGGTGAAGGCTCTAGCAGAGAACCGAACGCAACGGAGACGCACGGCTGAAGCCCTATGTTCCTCTAGGAATTAAAGGAAATAATAATAATAATTACTGGGTTGACTACAGCGTATACAATAATGTTAATAGAACTATAGCAGAAAAACGTAGTTCAGTGATATCTCAAAATATCAGCTAGTAATAGGTAGAGATTACACCTTATTCGATGATAATGGCCGTGTTCAGCATAGCTTAGCGAATGTAACGTCTCCAATTGCAGCACTGCACTGGGTAGTGAACCGGCAGCAAATACCTGAAGTAAGGTTGCGAATATACCTCACTGAGGAGTATGAGTAAGTACGAAAGGCATGTCTAAGAGAATTCCTTTTAGCTACCCTCCAACCAACCATCCAGCATCTTTAATTCGTTATCTTCTAGACTTACTAAGTATGCACATGTATCATCAAATCACGTATCACAGAGCCGAAAAACAGACGTTAATTGCACTATCCAGTTAGCCATTACACTACATATAGTGAAATAGTCACTGTGAATTGTTGATATTAGATGGTTGGAGGCGGCAATCGGAAGGAAGCCCTACCTGACCTAGGTTTCGTGCTTATTGGCACTCACCAGTCACAGCAAGGTGTACCTGTAATCTTGAAGTAAGTCATATCCCTTGTGAGATTCGAACCCGCGTCACCCGGTGTGCTGCAATCAAAGACGTTACCACTGAGGTATTCCGATTCGTGACCGACCAATACAGTTCTACAGGAGGTAAGTCGCGAGCCCGGATACCTCAATGATAAAGTCTCTGACTACAGCACACTGGGTGATGTTTGTTCAAATCTCACAAGGGATATGACTTACTTCAAGATTACAGGTACACCTTGCTGTGGCTGGTGAGTGCCAATAAGCACGAAAACTAAGTCAGGTTTAACGAAACCCCACTTCCCCTACTAACAGCTTTTAGTGCCCTACGCAGCAAAGCAAAGTCTTTCTTAAGTAATCCAGGAAAGATTAATGGGGAGCAGTAAAGAGGGAACGTTAGAATACAAGAGTTGACAAACTGAGAAAGCAAAGACTGCTTTATACCAGACTGCCTTAACTTCCTAACGTAGAACGTCAAGCGAAACATCTTTCTAGTAACTAGCAAGATGTGAGAGGACCAGGAAAGATCGGAGGAAATCCTCAGTCCAAGGTATTTGACATTAGAGGTAGTTTCAATCTCTATGCCATCAATGATAGTGGGACCATGTGAGCTAGCTAGTTGTTGTAGGTCACGTTTTCGTCTGAAAGTGAAATTTACTACCTGATATTTAGACGGATTCAGCTTAGGACCGTTTGAAGAGGACCACTGACTAATTTCCGAGAGAAAGTATGTACGGACTGGGGTTCGATCCCAGGGCCTTCCGGTTACAAGGCAAGCTCGTATTCCATTCAGCCACTGGCCCATGAATTCTAACTTCTACCAATTCGTGTTTTTAGCGCGACCATCAACTAATTTCATCGGCGGGAAATCCATCCTCATTCTTGTTATTATTTCAGCAGCAACTTGCTACAATATGGGCAACACGACATGTGCCACACAAAACAAAAACAATAAGACACAGTATAAGGAAGAGAAATGGAGTAGCTGGGGAACAGAATTATGCAAACTCGCAAGCATACTTATTCAGGGGACTTATCACCGCATGCTACTCTCAGATTACGATTCTCAGCCATATTTGATAACAACTCAAGTCAGTGATTTGGACTGTCATTCGGGGTAGCGGTGCAACAAGAGATGCTAAACTAATGACAACTATTCTCTATCCCATGACAACACGTCATGGATTGAACACCACCTGTCCGCTCCTAACCGACCGTTTAGTTAGAGTTAATTAATTAGAAATATGAAGGAGTCACATCGCTTGCAGGAAACTTTCGTCATTATTGAGTGTAGAAATGCTACAACTAATTCCCATTCCATAGTAGTTTAACTAACGAATGAACGGTAGTTAGGTAAGTGGGTAAAGTGAGACAAAAAAAAGTGTGAACTACATTTACACTAGAAATTAAAGATATTTCATAATATCCTGTTACATTAACAACGATTTATTTACAGTTTTCCGCAAACCGTGTAAATAAAAGATTGTAGAGCACCAACATTAAGAATAAATCAGAGCAAACAATAATGGTCTGCTTAAATAACTAGGCTACCCGATTTTCTTTCCATCAGAATTTCTCTCATTTACTCTATTTTATTTTATTTTAATTACCCAATTACATCTCTGAGTTGCAGTTTATACTCAAGCCCGTTTTCTACTTAGCAAGAGACCTAGGAACAGAGTCAAATACAGATGTGTAATCAAGGGAGGCACACCGAACATATTTGGCTCCTCTATCTAAACTAGAGACTATATTATGATGTAGAACAACAGCGGCATCTAAGGTACTCCTACTATGTTTATAGGCAAACTGGTTGGGGTCATTAAAAGGCTTTAAAGAGGGTTCAAGATTAAGTAAAATAAGTCTTCCCATAACTTTTAAAAAAGGTGAGGTAATAGCAATCGGTCGAAACTTAACAGTAGGTCCACTTGTTGATTTAGGTACTGGAACAACCTAGACATTTTTCCATGAGTCCGGAATAATACTTTGGGAAAAGGATTCATTGAAAATGTCGGTTAATGGGTAACATAAGATGTCAGCACACTTCTTAAGGATAACAGCAGGAACTCCATCAGGACCAAGGGACTGGGTAGGTTTCAGAGATTGAAGACAATTAAGGACATCGTTCGTGTTAAAACACGAGAAGCAGTCATTATTTATACTATTAGATTTGGGAATCATAACATCTGCAGGGATACATATGAAGGATTTATTAAGCATATCAACATCAACATGTGTACACATACCAGATCATTTCTTTCTTCTTTAATTTTCTCAAGCGTTTCTTCCAGTTCTAAATTACGTTGTGTCAACTGACTGACCATTGTATCAATGCCGAGGTAAGCATCCACTTGTTCTTTTAATTCAATAATTTGTTCAACACTATCTTTTAAATTTTTTGTTAATCGTTCTTTTTCTGTTTGAAGTTGACTAACTTCTGATTCTAAAGATGTAATCTTTAAAATACAAATAAACAAAATTAATTATTCAGTTTAAAGTTTGGTATTTCAAATTCTCATAAAAAGTAGGTAAATACAATGTGATAGTGTAGATTTCGTCGTGAACCAACATCAGTTAGGGAAATATTCAAAATCAAGGAGCTCCAGACAACTGTTTCGTACTTGATTAGAACTCTTCAGCAATACGCACTCACGTCCCCAACGGAGGTCGAATTCAGGACCTTCATGTCACAAGGCTGATTCCGATGACTATTTAGCATGCTGCTGAAGAACCACAAGTTGGGACAAAACCACTGTCTAGTGTTCTATGGTTTTTGATAATTTTTTTAACTGATATTGGATTGCAGTAAAATTAATCCAAATCCCTACAACGAAATTCCCACAATCTCAATACGATATCAGACGTCAGTGACTGTGATTCAATATTACAAAATAGCATAGAAGTGAGCTGAATTAGTATAAATGAATATACAGATAAAGCTGACTAACTTACTGATCTCAACATAGAACTTTGCACACATATGGGGCAGTTCCAGTTGAATTAAATAATTAATATGACCCATTGCACAAGAGGTGGCCCTCTTGGCCCAAGTGGTCTAGTGGATAACGCTTTGGCGTTTGAAGCTATGGGCACTGCGTCCGAGCCTCAGTGGGGACATCATCACTCACTGCGGAATACAGCTAGATCCAATTGACGAGTCCCAAATAGGCCGAAATGCGCATCCTGGATTCTATTGCTAGTCACCATCCACCAATTAGCTTCTATTTTCTGACTGTATAGTTCATTGTGATGGTGAAAACCTTACTACTACCATTAGTCGTCTAGTTTAAAGAAAGCAATAAGAGTGAACTGATCTAACTGGCCGTTGCAGATATAATAGACAATAACAATAAATCAGCGATAAATGGCGGTTAAATGCACCAAGTACAACCAAAGAATCTCAGCTGATCTAACCTTCTCGAAATACCTTACTAATAGACACATTTTCATAGAGTTTACACGGGTGTCCTACTAACAGCATTATTATGTGGAAGAAATTTTGCCACAAAAATGAAGGCTTGGTGAATATGGGGTACCATGTGACGAGTTTAAAACGCCTTGATTCCATACAGAATGTGTACAGGTAAAAATAGCTTACAGATTTGACTTAGTTACCAAAATTAAGATAAAATGCATCATGACATTGCTTTGCTTATTTTCGAATTGGACTTTAGGTCACAGATTTGGACTGTCCCCATAACATTTCGAGCTTCACAAAAATCGTAAGACAACAGAGGTAAATAACTCTTATCACATCATTCATCACTTCCATTTGCTCGACCATTCACTTTTAGGCTTTATTTTCCCACTCAGACAAACTGTTATCTCAGACTTAACTGTAAACTTTGATATTGTCTATGAGTGAGTTGATGTTAAAAGAAGAGTTGGAAGAATAAACGAAATTCAAAACACAGTTGAAGCCAATATGTGAAGAATTCACAATACTCAGCTATACAGCTCCATTAATATTTATAACTTTTGGTAGCCTGTTTAGTGTTCTTAAAAGTAGACTTGATTGGTGTACAGAATATTAATAAGTTTAGAAATATTGAATTGGTAAGTTGAGTGCATTCACTACTTATCTCATAAGTTAGAAAAACCTTTACTATGATAACAGTGACTAGCAGAGGAATGTAGGATGAGCACTTCGTCCTATTTGAGATTCATCATCTGGACGTACGTATGCTGGTGTTCCACTCAGACTAGAACCCTGCACCCGATGCGCTTTGATAAAAAGCTTGTACTGAAGATGTTGTTCGGAAGGAACATGAAAGTTTCGCAGTTTTAAAATCAGCCAGCTCAAAGAACGCAAGAACATCAAAATTACAACTTTACCTTCATCGAGTTTCTTTCTTTGCTCACTGCATCATACATAAAAATTATTAAGCAGGAATTTACCTGTTTAGTTAAAGCTGAAATTTCCGATTTATCTTGATTAACCAAATCACGTAGCTTGACCAGTGCTCCTTTCATTCGTTCATTTTGTTGTTCAAGATTTTTAAACTGTAAGAGAGTTGAACCGCCTTCAACACCGACTGATACTTCACCGGGTATTTTCCACAAGAAAGAGAAAGAGAGATAACAACGTAGAATGCAATAAGTAACTAGGAACGCAATGTCTAGTAATTTATCTCCTTAAGTAAGAGAAAAATGTTGGCGAATTTCTAGACAAGAAAACGCAGTTGCCCTTGATGTAGGAACAGAGTATAATTCCATATCATGGGATCATTTCATTCGATAAAATAACTCGACGTAGGATTCATAACAAGGCAGGAATTAGGGTGGAATTTAAACCTACAAAGTAACTCAGAGATTAAGGGACCCTATTAGACAAAACTATTTAATCAATATAATGACCTGCAGTGACTGTGAGATCAACTACAACTATAAGACCAGTTGTTTGGTCAGATTATTGGAGCATACGAATTTGGCTTAGTGTGAAATGATGGACTTCACAAAAATGAAAATCACACAATACAATGGGGAGAGAGCTACAGTTCTAAAAAGTAATATAAATAGGTGGAGAGAGAAATCGAGCATTGAATTTTTCTTCATTTAATCTATAGGTAACACATGAGTAGGAATAACGTAACGCTGGTATACTGGAGATATGGATAAGAAATAATAGAATTACATAAACGAAGTTTAAAAGTTATGTGAGTGCCTTGATATAGTTGTAAGCAATAAATTGTTGTCGAAACGTCATCAGTAAAAAATGTTGCATCACTGTTTTTCTCCTCAAATAAAATTATTCTATAAAGGGACAGGGTGACCTTTTATATTTTTACATATTCTTCTTTACCAATCGGTAAATCTTTATCCTCAGAATTGAAAAATGAGTTTTGAGTAATGTCACGCACTGACAGTATTAGCTTATTTACGTGATTCCCTGCTGATAAATCTGACACGAATTGATCAGCTTCAGTTTGGTATACGGCTACAATTAACGACCTGGTACGGTCGACGGTGGGTAGACTTCAGTCTTCCTCTAGAAGTCGTCTCATGTGCTTACGCGTTTATAGCCTTTGATTACGTAATTCCTGTTTACTACCTTTAAGCTGCCTGGTTGAAAGGGCGAATCCGGACATCTGGCGCTAACAACTGGACTGATGAACTCATTCAGTAGATGCCTAAATACTACCTTGAAGTATATAAAATGACTTCTCAAAATACATGAACAACAAATATGGAGATAGTTACCACAATAGCTCCTGAAAAGTAATGAGCACAATGTCAGTTGACAGTTCTGCGATTAGAGTAAAGCCGATAACACTGAAGAAAAAAAGTGAAATGTTTATCGAAGTTATAAATGACTGATAATAAAATACGATGAAATTGTTTTCACGATATGCCTGTGTCTCTACCTTAGTTGATTGACTTGTTTCGCAACCTGTGAGCTAACGTGGTTAATAGCATCTTATAGAAAGTTCAGATGGGAGGCATGAGCATCTCAGCTATGACATTAATTTCCATACAACAGACAGTTTTCTGTTTAGTATCACCATCTATAAATGGGTAATGAATTGAGTGTAGCAAAACTTCTTATTCCTTTATCAGGCAATACAAATGAAGTAAGCATACAAATCACTTCAGCTGACAAATAATGTTATTGATGTAAATAACACTATGTGCTCCCTTGGGGTTAAAATGCTACATTACATTACTTTTATACATATTAGTGATAAGATTCAAAACGAAGTAGATAAATGACGAACAGGCAGAAAATAAAACCTTCAATACCTTTAACTGTCTCAGGAGTTTTCAATCCTACAGACAACGAAGATGTCGAACCAGCAAGTTTTGTAACTTCCTTTGATTCTGAAGTGGCACCTGATTCGGAAACAACGCTAGATGTGGATAACTTCATTACGTCTGATCTTTCCGGACCATCTAGAAGAGTAAGCTGGATAACAAAGGAGGAATAAATAAATTAGATTTTTTAATTGCAAGATGCATTCACGATCGATATTTTTGGACACAACCTGAATAAAGTACAACAAAATATATACTACTGTTGCGAATGAAATCTAATTAATACTTTTTAGGGGACCAGTACATTGGACTAAAATATTTACCTGCCGAACAAAGAGATAAAACAAAGGACGCTGGATTCAAATTTAACAATAAATATTAGTTAATTTACTTTGTTACAAACTCCAGACTCATATCTGTCATGTTATTTGGTGTATAGGGACTATCAATGGAATCCCGGAAGTACGTTCCCTCTCGTTTAGGACTCGTCATCTAGAGGTAACTGCAATCTCCAGTGTGTGTGATGGTATTTCTGCTGACCCGACCGAAAGCTGCTACCTTGACGTGGTGGTCGGGCTTGAACACTGCAATGACCCAACAAGCTATACTGGCTGGAACTTATGTTCCTGCAGGTCCTACCATGCCAGAAAGGTTGTTTGGATAGCAGTTAGACTAAAAGCAGTTACCCAATCCAATCCTATGATTTCAAATAAATCACAAAATATCATGCCGGATCGGTCGGGGCCCGGATTAACAACGACCGCGCTTTCTGCTGCCGTGTCACAGGGCAGAAGTGATAAATACGCTACTGAGACACACCAAATAAAAAAGAACAAACAAAAACAGGCCGTGTGTGACCGGCCTCAAGCAGTTGTCCCCTGGGCTCTGCGGTCACGCAACCAACTTCCACGGTGTGGGCAGCCGGGAAGTACCAATCGCCCTCACAATCCGAAGTGCACGCGAAACCCCTCTAATCCTCGCTCATCTTTGTCTTCATCTTCATCTCTATTATCTTGCCTTCCTTCTACCAATGCAACTCCTCTACTTGTTGGCTCTTCACTTCCCCTTCACTCTGTGTGCACTGATAACGAGGGAAGCCAAAAAGCCACCACCGATTGTCTCCTAAAACCACGCCACCAATTTTATATAGGAGCATTTAATGTTAGGACACTTTACCAAATAGGAAAACAAGCATCACTAGCCAAGACTCTGGCATCCCGAGCCATTGATGTATGTTGTGTTTCAGAAACACGCATACAGGACCCAAGTGTGGTTATTCACCTAACCCCACCTGGCCAACAGGATGAATCTGCAAAATTCACCTTGAGGGTGTCAGGAGATGCGACGGCTAGCTCACGAGGATTAGCTGGTGTTGGGATAGCTTTAAGTACTAGAGCAGAAAAGACATTACTTGACTGGATCCCGGTAGATAGCCGAATGTGCGCTGTCCGCCTGAACGGATCAGTGAAAAGGAGAAAGGACTGCACTACTCGCCATCACGGTGGCGAGCTACCTAGAATGGTGGCCACATTACAACCTGACTGATAGAATTCAGTCTTCACCAAAGAGAGGACTAGACGCATAACACTAGTTCCTAGTGTCAAATCAAAATAGGTTAGGACATGTGCTACGTATGCCTAGTCATCGCCTTCCTCGACGGGCAATGTTAGCTGATATAGGGTCAGGCTGGAAAAGAGCTAGCGGCGGTCAAACCAAAACATGGCACCAATCAATGAAATCCACAACAGTTAATCTAAGCCACGTAGGAAGATGTAGACTTCCTGGTTGGGGCCCTCGGGATGGTAAAAACCAATGGTTGGAAACAATTGGTGACATGGCTCAAAATCGTTCTCAGTGGCGCAGATGCATCCACTCCTTGTGACTTATGATTTCCAATTAAACTTTTGTTCTCCGTTATTACTATTCCTTTGTCTCACACCTCTGTTTACTGTCTATATTATGCATTTCTTCTACTTTCTTCTCTTGCTTTGCGTGCTACGTAGATTGTGGCGACTTGAACTGCCGCACATATGTGCAAAGTTCTATGTCGAAAACCGACCGACCGACCGACCGCATTCTGCTGAGAATCAAACCCAGTCCCCGTCGTTTCAAACGCCAGTGTTAACCACTAAGCCACTTCGGCAGCAAATAACATCACTGTTGATCCTCAGACATCATCGGATAGTCCACATTCAGAGCCGCATGTCGACAGAAGCCAAACATTTCCGTTCAATTAATCAACGGGAAAAACAAGAATTGACTTACACAAAATGGAGAAAACTTATTACGGTTCGCATTCTCAACTAATCATCGCAGAACCACCTGACACATTTCATAATATCACTCAAAGACAAACACTGTAAATAGTCCTTAACATAATAAAACAGAAAAATGGCACAATGCGGGACAAGAGAATTAAAATATGTCCTGGATATTGGACTATACAGTATTTGAATGGAGTCATATTACTATTATCCTACCATTATTAATACAAGGAGTTGCATGATTGTATGATGGTTCATGTATATATATATATATATATATAAATGTAAGGTAATAAGAATGCGAATAGAGAAGTGATGTTAACAATGTAATCAGAAGTGGTTAAATATTGTGAAATAAAAGGACAGAAACAAAGTATGTGACAACACATTTAAAATAAAAAGATGAGAATACGTTTGCGTCTGTATAATTTATTTTGATCCCAATCACCCACAATCTTTAGTCACGAGTTTTGGTAGTCATTTCGACCACAGCAAGCAAGTTGCACTTTTCCAAACTAATTGGACTAACAGTCATGAATTCATTCATTGGCTGGGTACGGATACGGCCACCCTTGACTCAACAAGCCATGGTAGGTGGTAAGTAGGCGTAACAAATGACAAAACCAATTTAGACGATTGACAGTTAATTTTCTATCAAAGAAAAGAGGTGGTGTGTAGAATAAATGAATGTAATCTTTGCAGACTCAACACTGATGACTAAACACTGGGATAATATAACGGCGCATACTGATATATTCTTGACGCCTAATAGGTATACAGATATTTCACTAAAGAAGTGGATAACGAAAATGAGACGGCCTTCACATTTCACCAATTGATAACAAAGTGACTTTCTAAAGTTGAAATAAGTGTCGGTTCAAACATTTGCGGGAGTGAGGAATTATATTTAGAAGAACCCAACTACCCGGAAAACATATTTAATGTACCCACCTACGAATTACGCATTATGTAGAGGCTTCTGATACTAATCAGTTGCTCAGGTTGCAGTAAGTGAAATGGGATTAGAGCCCGGTGTCCACTGGCTTGAAGGCAAGATCTAAAGCCAATGAGCACCAAGTCCAGTTTCTTAGAAAACAAGGAATATATCGCACACATTCCTAAAGTCTCACAAACCATTGGATAGACAATGTTTTAGCAGTATATTCTTCAGGAGGCGCACTCTGTCTGTTCTTTAAGATATTAAGGTATGGCTGAGACTAACAATTGGAAGTAAGGAAGAAAATCGACTGCCTGGTGCATATTGAAGCAAAGGCTGAGCAAGCATAAAAGTTATCGCCTTCTAGGGAAATGTTGCGAAACAACTACTCGACAGAAATGACAGTAAGTCCCGACATCATGTTGATTAAGCCCTTTGGATGCTCTAGTGTCATAAGCTCTATAGGCTGGAGACTACAGTTGGATTCAGTTCCCGGCGAAGTTAACGTATCACAGCCAAAGTCAAGGTCTGTCAAAAGTGGACATCCAAGAACCAATCAGATTTACGGAAATGTCATTCGAAATCAAATCATGCTTACCGTTTAGAATTTGGCGAGAGTAGATACAGTATTCTACTTATTCCCCAAGTACTTTTTCTGTGAATCTGTACTGCAGGTATGCTACGGTTATGGCTTTTAAGATTACGGTTACAGTTAGGTGTAGGTTAAAGAAGTGTCAGAAACATCAGTGGATTTCAAAGTATCACGATCAACATTCACCTGGATGAAAAAATCTATCACGCATGGTAAGACTTCTCTTTAGGTTGTCCGGTTAGCGACTGGGAGACATCCTTACAACACATAAGCGACAATTATTCAGTGTAATATCGTATTCACAATGTGCATTAATGCATTTTCCACAGATTATGCGACCTGTTTTCATCTGAATTCTGATTGGTTGCCCAAAGTCACCGTAATTTTGGTTATGATAGTTTAACTTCGCCTAGGTTCCACTAAGTGTGCCTGTAGGTCTGAACAATGCTACAATATAATTCCACGCAGAGTAAGAATACCAGCAGACTAAATATTCAGTTGGGAATCCAGTTTCATGGGGCTGGGAATACCTTTTTATAATCTGATATAAATACGGAGTGCAAGGACTGAAAAAGCTAAATAGGGTAATGCGAAATTGATGAGAAAGATATTATGGAGCCCTTGATAGTAAAGACTTCTTATAATATGCATTAGCTGACACATAGAGAGATGCAAGCAATGCATAAAACCGTTTAAAATAAAACATACCTGAGATGGGCGCACAAATATACCAAAATTTTCCTCACATCTAAAGTAGCGTTTCCCCTGAACCGTGCCGTTGTTCTTCCCTTTGGGCTCGTCTAGTATTATACCCACCCATTTTCCTAAGTCCACGATGAGAACAAAAATTTTTTACCTGGTGAGAATTGTGTTATTCCGACAAAAGCAACGGTCCCAAAAACGGATCTCGATGCTATTTTAACACGACAACCAACTTTTACTTTCTCTTCAGCCATACAGCTGTAATAGAACAACACAAACAATTATACAGATCTAGCACGCAGGGTAGAGCGAAGAAGCAGAACACGACTTGAGGAAAAGCACTTTATAATTGACACTGAATTACACCAGCAGCAGTCCAAAAAATACATACATGTTGTGAATTTCTCCCGAAAGAAATCCGAAACGATAATCCAAATTATAGATTTAACCACACGTAGAGTGACGCGTAAAGTGCGAAATACAGGATATTCTGCAATACGGTACTTTATTACATAAAAATAGATATATAATATACAAACCTCAAGATGTGAGGTATCTGTGGCTAAATGGCGTCAAATGCACAACCACTGTGCAGTCAATAAGTAAAAACAGCAATGCTGTGTCAAGATCGATCCACGTGTCGGTTCAAACGGCCCGCGAATGCCAAGCAAAGAATAAACAAATATGAACAAACAACTTTCAATAGGAAAGCATACACTATAGGGTAAGGACAGCAAATAATGTTTAAGGAGAAGAAAAATAAGAACTATACATTGATAGAATGATAATAGAAGAAGTAATTCAACTGCAGTTGTAAGCAAATGTCATTGTTATAAATTAACATATAAAATCCACACTACACACTAATGGCAAGTAGTATAATGTTGAACAAAGGAAAGATTGAGAATGAACAAGTAGGAAAGGAATTAACACCGCCCCCTCAAAACCAGCCTGGTTTTACCTACTCTACCTGCTAGTAAGACACAGAAATGGTACAATTTACTCTCGCCACATCTGCATCCACTATCCAGCTATATATCCTACAAAGTGCTTATCTCTCCTCAATATTTTCTAATAGGCAAACCTTACGCACATCTCGGTTGACTATACCCCTCGGTGTCTTGATATCCACTTTTCTGGTTATCAGTGTTGGCCGTGGTGCTATTTCGCACGTTGTGGGTGCCAATACTATTGACCGTGGGGAATGTGGGCTTACTTATACTGCCATTGTTGTTGTTGGCATGATTTGGGGTCATATTCTTCTCTTTTTTACCAATGGACTTATGGCTAGGAGAGGAAAGGGTCAACTTTCGGGGGATTTTGACTTTTTTTCTTGGATTATTTAGTGACATGTCTAAATCTACGGTGGTAGGTGGTATAGTTTTATTGGCTATTTGATTACAATTTAGCGGCCTTTCGGTTGGTGTCGCTCTCTGAGAAGATAATTCTGTGTGGTTAGAGAGGGGTGGTGCGGTGGATTCTACGGTATCTCTCAAAGGGTTGGGTATAATTGCTGCTTGCAATGTCCTATTGTTTATTCCACAGTTAGACTCAGTGTGATAATTATATACGCGCCTTTCTATGACGGTCTTGTCCACCGCAACCTTTACTAGTTTATAATTTCTGGCTTGCAGTGGGGTGTGTTGGGAGTGGATAAATTTTCTGGCCTCAGCAGGTGTTTCGAACTGAAAACGAATAGGACAACACTTTTCATGTTGACTCTTCTTCAGCCTGTAGCACTTAGTGTTGGAGTTGGGCATTTTCGCCTCACTAAGTAGGATGCGCTGTACCCATTTTAGTGCCTCATTGTCCGGAACGTTGTAGACAATAGCACTTAGTTTAGCATCTAGTCGTTTTGTTACTTCTGTAGTAACAAAGTTAATGAGGTTATCCACCTTAGATATCGATTCACTGTCAAGTTTGTTAAGGTCTACAGTTTTCATGAGAATAGTTAAAGGTGTCAGTTCACAGACCTGCAGTCTGATATCACTGATCTGACCTGATAAATTGGAGATTTTGGTATTGGTATCGGAAATTCCAGGATCTACTGACTTATTGTTTTTTAAGTCCCTTAACTCGGCCTTAAGTTCTCCTATAGACAACTTTAGAAGTTCTATTTCTGAAGATAGTACTGAAACAGAGCTTGAAGGCTGGAGCTTTTCGATAAGCACATAAGGTGTAGGGAGGGTTTCTGTATGAGCAGAGGGTACTGAATTTTTGGGAGTAGTGCTAATACTAGCTGTCAGTGCAGTTTTATCCTCAGTTTCAGCTCGACGCTTACGACATACAAGTGAGTTTTGTGGCTCACTATAACCATTTGTAGGAAGTATGTTGCTTGATGTAGCAATCAACGACTTAAAATTAGTCATCAGTTTTACAGGGGATTGAGTTCGCTGCTTTTTACTTTGGTTAACCATAACTATTTGATATGAGAGTTAATAGTTATAGGTATGGAAGTAGTAGAGGACTTGTGCAAGGATTACAACAAGATAAATTTTATGTAACGAATCACGCAAAAATGTAACGCAAACGTTGGACGTACCGCGATACCAATCTGAGACATCGCCTTGAACACAGTCGGTAGTCAAACCGAACTGCTCCAGAACAAGAGGTAAGTCAGATAAATTAATTCCAACGCACTCAGCTCGACACTTATCTATTGCAGATGAAAGGTTTAAAAACTTGCTGTCATACGTTTCTCCTGGTTCATACCAACTTTTTACAGGACCTCCATTTATGACATATTCAGTAGTTTTCGTGTGGAAATTTCGTTTTCCATAACAATCACGCCGAAACAGTTTACCTGAACCATATCCCGTCAGTTCATGAAGTCCAACTTGTAATTCAAAGGAACTTTCAGCAAGTTCCACGTACATTTGTTTGTCTTCATTACGTAGAAATTCTGGTTTAGGATCCTCGAGACGAACACTAAGTACATTATTCAAAGAAACATTTTTAAATCCATCAACTTGTCGTACATCATCATAGTTAGGAATATTAGTTCTGACAGGAATTCCAGCAGTTGCAGTCACCACATCCAAACTAGTAAAGTCTGGCTGTAAGAAATTAACTTTTTCAAATGTAGAAGGCCATGATAAATTTGTTAACAACCTTTCAGCATTATTTACAAGTCGCTGGAATTTTTTAGACACTGACCTATTTACAACAGCGACAAATGATTCAAACTTTGCACGAACGCCAAAGGGATCACGGTATGACTCGATAAACCCAATATAGTTTACAACAACAGGGTTCTTATCTTTAACCCATAACCTGAAGGCATCTTTGTGAGTGGCTACTGAGCCAGTAGTGAAGCTTTCAGCATACTGATGCCACATTTCTGATTCAATTTGGTTAAGCGAATGTGCTTTAAAATCTTTACAACAATCGACTAGTAACTCCATCAGCTCACTATAGTCACCATATTCAAGCTGCAAAGATGTGTCCGAGGGAAGGGCATCTCTTAACTTCTCACGACGTTGACTCGGAGGGATTTGCAGGTCATGGTAACGTTGGGCTAACTGTCTTTGTTTTTCTTGGATAACAGGAGCGTCGAAATGACTTTCTGCAGCAAGCGTGTCAGCCTGGACTTTGAATGTATCTATACGTTCACAATGAGTAGCTACATCAGATTCAAGCAAGTTGTACCGCTTTTGTACGTTCATCACACCGTTTAGATCACGAACGACATCCTCTGAGGCTATCTGAGCTTCAACATCATTCAACCATAACTCGACATCTTCTGTGTTGCGAGCGAACTGTTGTTGCCTACTTGCTTGATCTAAATCTTTCTTCTTGTCTCCCATGGCATTTACGAGATGAGACCAAGTTTCATCCAACTGTTCAATCTTTACTTTTATTTCTGGCGAGTTGTAGTGGTTTGCATTTAACAAATCCTGACCTGTCTTTTTAATATCTTCAACGCGGGATTGGTTCGCTTGTATTTCTGCCTCAAAACTCTGATGCTTCTGCACCTTTGTTTGCAAATTCGTGGAGTCTTTGTAACTTTCATCAACTGCATTTCATCTGCATCTCTATCGAACATTTGGTAACGGTGGGAATCTTCAAGACGCTGACGGAGGTTCTGAGCTTTCTCCTTTAATGCATTTCGTCTATTTTGAAGACCTTCCTGAATCTCATCAACCTGTGCAGCCGCATAGTGGTTTGATTCGATTAATTTTGCAGCGAATTCATCAAGTTGTCGCATCTTTTCTTCTTGTGCTAGAAGCGACTTTTCGAAGTCTTAATGTTTCCTTATCAGTGCTTCCACAGAATCGAGTGAGTCTCCCACATCTTTTATTTCTAGGAAGGCCTGTTGCTTACCAATCCAAGATTCCGACTGTTCAGCGTCGCGGTAAAAATGCAGAAGGCCCATACACTGTTCTAGCTGTTCACGTCTTTCTTCACACAACTGCATCAGGGAGGCTCTCCCTCTTTCAAGGGTGGAAAGTTTAGCAGCTATGTCTCCACTACAGGGATGGCCAACTCTTTGTAATGCCTGACCTTCTTGCATGCATGTATCGAAACTGTCAGCTCGAAAATTTATCTCAGCGGTGTATTCCTTATGTCGCTCTACTTGGGCTTCAGCACCAGCTACATCCTTTGCCAAATCATCCGCCGATATTAACGTCTTCATGTCATTTATCCAGATGCTCAAGTCTCTCCAGTCAGCCAAAAAGCGATGCATCTTGAATGACTCTTCCAGTTTGCCTTCTCCTACCTACAGCCTGACTTTTCAGCTTATCCCATGCAGTGATTAAGGCATCATACTTGCCTTGTATAGTGTTTTGCGAATCAGGATGCTTCTGTGCAAGCGCCTTAGCATCATTTCCAAGTTGAACAATCTTTTTATCTGGGGCAGTCAAATCCCTTTCTAATGCTTCGTGCTTCCTTTGTAAGGCTTGGACTGAGGCAAGATCACGACCACAGTCCTCAATGGATAAAGGAATGAACTTTTCATTCACCAACGATATAGCTCCATCTATGTCTCTAAAGAAGCGCTGTATCTCATAGGCTTCCAGGAGCTTTTCTTGTCGTTTTCTAGCCAGATCCTTCAGACGTTCTATAGCTTCGCGGACTTGTCTGAACTTTTCTATGACTAGGGCATCCTCAGGAAATTTCTCTTTTAGAAGTTCATCTGCCTTCCGATAGATGTCTTCTGCACGACTTTCTTGATTCTCGAGATCTTTTGTAAACTCATTAAACCCTTTCTGAAGTGTCTCAGCATGTTACAAGTCTTGACCTAAATCCTCTGATGTTACGTAAGTTTCTTTTTCACGTATCCAGAAAAGTATCTCCTCGACTTGGCGTAAAAACTGGACAAATTTAAGCGTTAGGTTAATAAGACGTAATTTTTCTCTGAAAATAGCCATAAGCCTTTCCCACAGGGCATGCAGTTCATCAAGACGGTTTTTGATAATATCTGTTGCGTAGTGTCCCTGACCAATCATTTCTTCTCCCGCAGAATCCAGAGCTGACAGTGTTTCAGCATGAACTGTTACTTCGAACTCAAACTCCTGATGTTTCTGTTTTTTCAGATGAAGATTACTGAGTTCTTTAAAATCCTCATTTGCATATGTTTGCAGTTTTTTATTGATCCAACACTCAAGTTCATCGGCATCCTTCTTAAAATATTGATATCTTTCAAGCATGTCCATAAACTTAGATATGGCTATGGTGAACTCACCGTTAAGAGATATAGTGACTTTATGGGAAGTAGAAGGTTTGTAAGGCGATTTATTGTGACCAGAACATTCGCGACTACCTTGTCGTAATCTTTCTAATTCCATTTCTTTCTCTTTTTGGACCATGCGCAATTTCGCTAGCTCCAATTCTACCATACGGTGTGATTTATTCTCTTTGCTTCCAGGGAAATCAGCCTCATTACTCTTTTCTAACTGTGGAGTTAACGATGGCATAGTTTCATAACTTTCGTCTGCCATACTGTTCGAAACTTTGTAGGATTATTTTTGTCCTACAGATTTAGTCCTTTCTCAATATTTATATTTTTTTAATATTTTTGGTTACAGCTTGATGCCACCTTGTATTTTCAGTACAAGTATGGAATTTTCAGCATGGATATCGGTAGCCCAAATTTTGCAGACCGACCATAGATATCGGGTGTGCGTCAGCAGGGGATCGAACCTCGGATCATGTGCATGGTCGGCGAGAGTGCTAACCACTGTGCCACCGACGCACACTGTAATACTGACGACACAGAGTCTTGGCTTAGCTATAGTTAAAACAGAATGACTTGACTTAAACTTTATCTGTTTCTAAAACATAAAATAAATCATACAATTACACCAAGAAAAATGTACAAATCCACTGTCATTCAAAAAAGGACAAAAGCGTACCGAACAGTATTGAAGGAACGGACAAATGAACAGTTAATTAATTACATGTACATACAAATAAAGTGACAGACAACAAAGAACATTCAAGGTCACATCACGTGGTGAGAGTTACAATAAATTGACGAATAATCGCGACAAGAAGGTCACATCATATTGATTAGCTGTCTATCATATAGTCCATCTATCTGTCGTGATTAACAATATGTTCATAAGGCCAAGTTAAACTTTAGACACCAGTCACTTCCAATCAGCGAACGACGTCAAATTATCCAATGAGATTCACGGCTGAAATTATCCCGCATGCTCAAGGTCATTGATGGAGTGAGACGCTCAAAGGTCATTTTCGTCCATGTTAGTCGGTTATGTTGGATTGCAGTTCCGTAGCCGTTCGTTTACACATTGGTTTCACGTTCTGTTGGCATTTATAGGTGATTCCCATGTAGTGATAGCATTCTTTTGTAAAATAGTACTGTTCTTCACACGAAAATAGCCACATTTTGACGTAGTCTTCATTGAATGACACTATGTCGAAAGCTGCACCTTCTACAAGAAATAAACTATTTGTGTAGATGACGTTACCTCCAACCACCCCATCTTCTTCATTGTAGAGATGTTTTGACGCATTCAGTATGAAACACTAATCATTACAACCAATATGCTAAGTGTGTCGCAGTCAGATTAAATGACGCGGACACCAACATAACTAGCCAGGAAATGAGAATTCTTATCAATCCAGAAAACATATAACAAAAATTTTATTAAAAATTATTGACAAAAGAAATTTGCCAAGCGAAATTTCAAACAACATGCCGGATAAGTCCAGCCAGATTCACGAATGTAGTTCAATGTTGTATAGCGCCTGATTCATTTCAATGCGTGCCCTTACAAGGTTACGTTTGCAAATCTAGGAGGATAGTGTCTTTCAGTATTGCTTGGACTTAGGCTTGCTTCGAAAGGAGAGGGTGGTATCATGACCTTAAAAAGCTATATTAGGTCAATTGATGGATTTGTCCATCGTTGTGGTATATGCTCCAAGCGTGTTAGCATTAGAGAGGGTAAGTTGATAATTTTAATATTTCGTAGGAACCTTTTTTGCAATGTCGCACCTCTCCTTGACGCAAATTTTATATATCTGCAACTACTGGGTATTAAAACAGCCAGTGAGAGCAGCAGCTGCGGAGACGGAGAACAGCCTCGTCTCAACAGTTCAATGGTACCAGTGTTGCAGAGATATTGAATCCTGGAAAATCGAGAAGATCACTTCGTTGTTGGGTGGAGAAGACGTTATCATGCACTTGGATGAAACTGTGATGCTGAAAAAGAAATACAACCGTGGTCGCCAGCGAGCGAATAATATCTGGGTGATAGGTTTATACGATACTTCCTTACGAAAGGGATTCGTTGAAAGAATAGGAGATAGAAAGGCGACAACGTTAATACCTATTATAACGAGACCCATCAAACGGGGTTCAATTATACACACGGACGAGTGGAAAGGTTATAATTCGCCTTCATCCTTGGGATATAGTCATCACCGAGTGAACCATTCAAACGATTTTGTGGATCCAGTTGCCGGAACTCATACAAATTCTATTGAAGGATTTTGAAGCCGGTTGAAAAATCTGGTAAGGGCTATAAATGGATCCCGGAAGGATCTCATTTATAGTCATTTAGATGAATATATATAAACATATATATACAGAGTGTGGTGCGACTTTTCTATTGACAGTCCGTTGCTGAATTGGGAAATGTTTCTGTCCCATGTTCGTGAAAGATACCCGTTGTAATTGTTTTATCCTATTTTTTATGCATTTTTCTATAAATATACATTACCACTTATCATAAACGCCTCTTTCTTGTGATTGGTCCGTTCAAGGTCGTTTGCTGATTGGTTGTTACTGGTGTCTAAAGTTTAACTTCGCCGGATTTCATCATGAGCTGACAGCATTTGGAGAACCACTGGAAAACCTGGGAGGATTGGACAGCTGTTTCGTCCTAGTTTGTGACTCTGAGGATATATATATATATATCACCTGAGGTAATGGTGTAGTCAGTGGTGAAAGTCTGGAGATGTGATCTGTGGTTACTTCACATTTTTCATGATCCTCCCTGATTTTAACTGTGTAATGATATTGGGATATCAGTTTGACGTCTTATTCTTGAGGCTTATGTAAGTTTTAAGTTAAGTGCATGTTGAATTTCAGCTGTGATTGACGAATTCATTAAAACGCTTTGTTTTTAGCTGTGCAGTCTGCAGTTCTCTGTCATCTGAAGTCCCAAAAGTGATAAACAGGCTTCATCACTAAACTTGAATGTACACACATATTTCATTATGTTGTAGTGAAGTTGTGTCTACGCCCTCTACTACTCATTCAAGAAGAGAATAATTAACAGATGAAGCACTAACAAAGCCTTTAATTCTCAATCTAAGATCTGAAATTCTCTACTAATTACCCTCGTGTTTGCTCTGTTCATTTTTCCCGTGATCAGTTCTTTTCATCGGGAAATTAGTATGTACAAACTGGTTATATTGAAACTAATCTTAATTTGTTTTTGATCCTTTTCTACCTGAATTTCCTGTAGCTTCTCTTTCAATGCATGGGAATTAGTCAGCCTAGAATTTGACCAATTTCTAAATAAGCGATGATATTTGTGTTATCTTCGATAATTCACATGTCGAAGTTTTCTAATCTGTCATACTTTTCCCACGCTATCTTCGTTGATCCGCTGACTTCGACATCTATTGGTCTTACCATTTTTCTTCTTTTTAACAGGGAAAGGTTGAAATCACAGAAGAAGGCATTAAATTACTTGGAAAATTGACGAAATCATTGAATTCTGCCAACACAACAAATGGTGGATGCCCCATAGCTGAAAGTCCAATGAAAGAAAACATTTCAACGCCACATGATGGTAAAAGCAATACATCTAAGAAAAGGAAACGTGTAGCTACTCCTTCTCCTGAGAGAGTTAAACAACCCAGTCGAACTTCATTAAAGGGAACGAAGCACAATTGTGAAGGAGATGAACATTCTTCTCAATCTGGTATTACCGTTGGTACTTCTTCATCAGTGCATATTCCTCCCTTTCATACTGAACAGCCGATAACATCTGTAAAACAACCCACCAGTGTCAGGTTTCTCGATGCTTTTGAATATGGGGAGGAATGGCTTCCTGGCTTGTTGAAACCAACGAACTTGAAGAACTTCATCAGGTGAATTTGTTATTTCGGTTATATATTTCTAGAAATGCTTTTCATGGCTCACCACGCCAGGTTTCTGACCCATATTTAATATAAAGCGGCTTACTTAACAGTGGTGTTAGACAGAATCCGAATTTCGTTCTTTATACTGTGGAGTGCAGCTGATTTCAGAGTTATGAATTCTGCCTTGCCTTTACGATTCTTGTTTTGATATCCTCGTCCATCCTTTCTACTATAGTTGACACGATGCTGCCTAGATAAGTGAAAAAGAGGCCTCTTTCAAATTTCTTCCGTTGACAGTGATTAATGGTTGTTATTATTGTTGTTGGTTATCGGGTATTTTCATCACTTCCATTTTCTCTGTGCTCACTTAAAGTGTTGTCTCGTGAATCTGAATAGCTCAGTGGTAATGTCTCTGACTGCAGGACTCCACTGAGCGACCTGGCTTGTTGAAGTCTCCCAGAGGTGACGTCGTTAGTTCTTTCAAGATTCCAGATGCGCCTTTCTGGCTGGCGTTAATGCCAACAAGTAAGAAAGCTAGGTCCACACAGAGATTCCTGCCTATTACCTTCAACCATGTAAACCAACAATTCAAAGTGCGACATAGTAGCTAGCCACCTAGTTTGATGGATGTCGAAGGCTGGATTCATGACGCTAAATACCATCTTGTGTCTAGTCGTATTATGTTGTGAATGATCTTGCGTAATCGAAAGAGCTGACAACTAATTCGTTCATAGTGATGAATAATCATTTGGAAATGCTTATTGATAAAGAACAAGGAGGAACAAATACACTAAGAATGGCCAGCATGGAGTTTATTATAGAACAAAGTCGTAAAGCTGGTGAAAAGTGGGATGAGTATGTAATCAACAGCAATCGGTGAGATGTTTCCTCCACTCATATGACGAGGATGCTGTATCCCCATTGTGACGATGGGGGGTCACTGGATCAGATTGGAAGAGAGATAGCGATGGCCAAACAAAAACATGGCATCAGTCCATAAAATCTTTCAAAGTTAGTTTGAGATAATGACTTGCCGATCACCATCGCGTACCTCATTAGATCCGTTGACGATACAGTTGGCATATGGATGATGTTACACAGCCACAAAGAGATGCAAGGTTAACTTTCTGTGAGAAACAACCAATCAAAAGACTTTATTTTCTACTAACAATAATGTACATTAAAATCTATAAATATGTGTTGATTTTCCTTAATAAGCGATCTGTTGCCCGGCCCTTGACTTCTGTTAATTTTTTTCAGATGTAAAATAAAATGCAATTTATCTGAAAATAAAAAATCTCCTCACACGTAAAACGTCCCGTCAACTTGGCTGCTGTGAACTTTAAAACGACCACCGTCCAACAGAATCTCTGGCTTCTCCACGTCCGATAACCATTCACGGGCACGAAATGCGGCCAAGTGAGAATAATAAGTTGGCGATGGATACGAGACACTACGCGAACACCTCATGTACGCATAGCATAGGTGGTAGGTGAACAACTGGAGAGCGTCCGATGTCCAGTTACTGTCATCATACAAAACGTGATAATGAGCAGGTTTTGAAGTACCCTGGATCCCTTCTTGTGAGCACAGGTAGAAATCGAATTCCCTGGGATGTGTGATGTCTGTATCAACCACCGTTCCTGGCTCCACGTTTCTCGCCCTAGGCTTGCTCGGTCGAAATCGAATGTGGTGACGCTTCTGCACAACAATATAAGTGATCGCGGGTTCTTCACCAGGACGAATGTCTGCACAAGCTCTCTGAATTGCCGCCAACTCCTCTACCAACACATTCTCGAACTGGCCTTCCGAGACTCCATCACGATAGAATATTATACGCGTTGGGAAACGCCCGTTCGTATTTCGCGAGTAAACCTCAAGCAACTCCTTGACAATAAGACGCATGTCGTCGATTATTTCTCTTGCTCTCTTATTCCCCTTTTCTGTCGTCGCCTGTTGGCGGATCACCACCGCGTACCTCATTAGATCCTTTGACGATACAGTTGGCATATGGATGATGTTACACAGCCACAAAGAGATGCAAGGTTAACTTTCTGTGAGAAACAACCAATCAAAAGACTTTATTTTCTACTAACAATAATGTACATTAAAATCTATAAATATGTGTTGATTTTCCTTAATAAACGATCTGTTGCCTGACCCTTGTCTTCTGTTGTTACAGTAATAATAATCGTAATAATAATAACCGTAAATTCGTTTGCTATTGATTATTTAGCAAAATTTACCCAATAGCATATGATAACTGTGGGACAAATTACACTAGACTAAACCTAAGTTCTGCGACACTCAGTGAGTAATGAAAAGTCTTTCAATGTATATATGTGTAAAATTTGAATTGAGAATGAGGTCAACGCATTTTAAGACAACTGATGCGATAACGGTCTCTTAGGCTGTAAGCGCTTCCCCTAATTTCCAAATCATTTAAGGCGGAGAAATTTGCGAAACCTTCTCCATTCTCATTTATTTCACCGCATGCCACGATTGTTAGTGGCTGTCTGTTTTCGACATAGAACTTTGGACATATGTGCGGCAGTTCAAGTCGCCACACTCCATGTAGCACACAAAGCAAGAGAAGAAATTAGGAGAAATGCATAATAAAGACAGTAAACAGAGGTGTGAGACAAAGGTATAGTATAATGAAGAACACAACAGTTTCATTGGAAATCATAAGTCACAAGGAGTGGATGCATCTGCGCCATTGAGAACGATTTTGAGGCATGTCACCAATTGTTTCCAACCATTGGTTTTTACCATCCCGAGGACCTCAACCAGGAAGTCTACACCTTCCTACGTGGCTCAGACTAACTGTTGTGGAATTCATTGACTGGTGCCATGTTTCAGTTTGACTGCCGCTAGCTCTTTTCCAGCCTGACCCTATATCAGCTAAAATTGCCCGTCGAGGAAGGCGATGACTAGGCATACGTAGCACATGTCCTAGCCATCTCAGTCCATGTAGCTACTTCACAGCCTTGTCAACTGATTTCCCCTCCTTACCTAGCACTCGACGCCTAACCTCAATATTGCTCACCTTATTATACCACTTCACGCGGGAGATGGAACGCAGACACCTATGATCAAAGACAGCTAATCTTTTCATGTCCTCCGCTCTCAATGGCCAGGTCTCACAGCCATAAAGGAGGACGAAGCGGAATGCTGAGCAGTACACACACCCTATGGTCGAGAGTCTAGAATCTGTCGGAGAGTGAAGATATGATCGATACACCCGCTTCCTGGCCTAAAGCCTGGCTGGTTTTCTCGTTTTTGTGCCTCCCGAGCACCATTTAGTCTACGCATGATTATTGAGCCTAGGACTTTAGATACTATATTAGTCAAGCTAATCCCTCTGTGATTATCACAGGAAGAATAGTCTCCCTTCTTGTATATCGGGATAATCAGTGACTTACACCAACCCGATGGGACTTCCTCTGATTCCCAGACGCTGCCTAGCACCTCAGTTAATGCAGACAGTAAATTGTCTCCACCGTACTTAAATACCTCTGGAGTTATTCCATCAGGTCCCGCTGCTTTGCCTTGCTTCAGATTAGTGACAGCTTAAGTAACCTCAGTTAAGGACGGAGGACCTGTGCCTATATCCCATTCAGTTTACAGTTTACAATTTATTTAGGATAGTAGGCTATATGCCTGTGTTAATCCTTTCGATTTGTTACACACAGGAGGTCCAATCTCGCCTTGAATGAATCAACGGATGGCGCTGATACGACGTGTTCCGGTAGGGAGTTCCAATGGTTCACAATCCGATGCGAAAAACGGATCTCCAGACGCAGACGATTCGACCGTGGCTTTTGAACCTTGAGGTGATGTCCTCGCAATTGATTGGTGCTAGAAGGAAGAAATAAATTAGATAAATTTGCTCCAAAATCATTTCTTAGGATACGGTATGCTAGTATTAGGTCACTCCTAAGTCGTCTGTATGACAGTGGAAATAAACCCAGTCGACTTAACCTCTCCTCATATGAGAGGGTTGAGAAACCCTTTATTAGCTTAGTTCCTACGCTTTGCACCCTTTCTAATAAGTCTATTTCGTATTTGAAACACGGGCTCGCTGCCTGGATCCCATATTCCAAATGAGGTCTGATATAAGTCGGATATAATATACGAAATATTTCAGCGTCAAAATTTGCAAAAGCTTTGCGTATGGCCCATAATATTCGAAAACCCTTAGTGGCTGCAGCTCTACTGTTTGTTGCTGTTTTCAAGTCATGCTGCACAACCACTCCCAAGTCCTTGTACTCAGTGACCACTGGGAGAGTAATGCCATTCATTGAGTAATTGTGCACGTGACTATGAGATACATGCATAACTACACTCTTGCTTAAGTTAATCTCCAAGGCCCAGTGCTTACACCAATCACTTAACAAGTTTAAATCTTCCTGCAAAGCAAGTTGATCACTGTCATCGTGTAAGGCCCTCCATATCTTGATGTCATCAGCAAACAGTAAGCAGGATGACCTAAGTACCGATGGAATCTCATTAACATAAATCAGGAAAAGAAGTGGGCCTAGAATTGTACCCTGAGGAACGCCACTTTTAACTGATTCCCATGTTGATAAAACCCCGTTAACTCGTACTCTTTGTCTTCTATCCTTTAGAAAGTCTTGAATCCAGTCGGCAACCACTTTATTGATTCCCATACTGCCTAACTTTACTAGAAGACCTGAATGAGAAACCCTGTCAAACGCCTTGCTAAGGTCGATGAATATGGCATCCACCGGTATATTAGCATCAGCTGAGGTGTTGAATGTTTGGCAGGTTAAGCGTGGCTGTAGGCCAATTAAACTGCTCTTCATAGTGTTCTTTCCAGCGCTCCAGTCGTTTATCCTGGGAGCTAATTATGGTGCCATTTTTCTCCGAGATTGTTTCGCTTATCATTTACCTTTTGCCACCTGTTTCCCTGATAAGCCTGAATAGTTGTCTGGTGTTCCAATCGCCGATGCCTTTTCCATCTCTTTCGCTTTTGTCACCCACCACTATTCACGGTCGTTGCAATGACTTTTTGTTAGTTTTCGTTTAAGTACCTTTCGCTCCTCATCATAATCGGAGCTCGCTGGAATCAGTCTCCTTGCGTCAGTCAGTTCGGATAAGGCGGTAGAGATCCAATGGCTTTTATTAACTTTAGGTTTTAGCTTTCACAGCTGTGTCTACAGCTAACTGTATGTTGTGCTAGGCTACCTCGGGGGAAGTCCTGCTGTCGATCTCAGAAACTCGTTTCGCTATTTCTTCCTTAAATAAGGACTCAGTGTCTCGATCTACGGTTAGTGGCTGAAATTATCAGTGGTCTATCCCGGTTTGACTCAGCTAATTGTTGAATGTCT